AGGAAAAAATATTCCAAAGTTTTACAACAAACCCATTTTCCCCTATATTTATAATATCAACTTCAAAATAAAATAATCCACATTGCTCAGGAATAGGATAATTTGTTCGAATTGCAGCACACTTTTCATATCCACCCAGACCTTTATATTTGAAAAATTGGTTATGCAAGAAATGGTGATTCCATATGAAAACAAATAATGAAATGTAATACCTATATAAGTCACTATAAGCCTGTCTGAATTTTGTCTTATAAGATTACGTTTATCATTAATATTCCATGCGGTTGGTGAATCCATATTATTGTATAATCTTAGAAGATAATAGAGTTTGATTAATGAAGGATGCTGATGGTTTGATTTGTATGCATAAATGCTATTTATCTATTTTATTGTAGAAGCTTTAAATATGTTGCGAATTTAGAAAAGAAATTTTAGGATTATTCTCGATTATCATTGCTATTTATATCATTTGTCATACATATGCGTATCGTAACAAAAAAAAATTTTCCATTATTACATAATCTAACACAATATACGTTGACATCATGATGATCTCATTGTACATTTATATTCCTTTCTTGATTTGGATGACAATTGGTAATGCGCAACAAATTATTTCTTAAAATGTTTGGGTTTTTTTTTTGAAAATGAGCAATAGAGCAATATAATATATACTATTAAATCTATTGATACACAAAATTTCCAATTGGCAGCATTTTTAGTGTAATTCTTTATTATTTAAATTTTTAACATCCCATTTTTAGGTAAATTTATAATTTTCGCCCGTAAAAAATTTTCTCAACCATTCATTCTCCTCAATGCACTGCTATAGCCTGATGAATGTTTTCCGAAAGAATACTTTTTTGTAGAGATGATTAAAAGAAATAAAAAATGATTATATATATTTTTATACTTTCTAACATGCGTTTATTATTTTGAAAATGTTCTCTGATGATATTCATAAAAATTTTATCCAGAAATAAACTTAATAAATTTACCTTTGTATATACAATACTGTTCATAATGCAATTATTGTAAGAGTAAATTTATTGTCGCCCTGTATTATATATACATCGTTTTTATATAAATCACGTTACACTGGGTGTTCTGTTATATCATGTTTTTGTCGATCATAATAAGAATTTCTATAAAGCTCGATGAACGCATTCGTGAATTACGAAAAAAGAACAACTTTTGTAAGATTTAATAAAGTTACCGATTTTGTATCTTTTAAAGGTTATAGCAACATATCTAAGGAACACATGAATGACGTTCAAAATATGCCTTTCAATCAAGGTTAGAAGAAATGCTGATATGGGCTCTTTGCAATAGAAAGGGAGGAAACTACCAAAAAAATTTTTTTTGCTTTATAAGCTAAATATTATTTTTTTAATAAAATAAGTCCAGATTTAACATTAACTCAAAAAAAAAATT